ACGGCCTGTTACAGGGACAACTTATTATTATTATATTAAAGTTATTGACGTGAACTGTCGTTAAATACGATGTATACCAGTTGTCAAGAAAATCGCATTTAACGACGGTTCACATTAATTAACTTTAACGTAATATTAGTTTTAATTTTTATAAAAGATTTATGACTTAAATGTCATATATTTTCATATATGCAAATTGACGTATTTTCTTCACTCTATGGTACACTCTGAAGATGGCGATTTATGACTGAAACATGTATGCTTTAGGAGTGTTTGATTTACGTAAGAACAGAAAATAGATCTAATTTCAACACAAAAAGTGTATTGGCAAAATGAGCTTTTACCAAGCCACGGAACTACACAATATAGATCTCTCTCTGGCCTCCTCTTACGTTCCTTCTCCTGGGTGCAGGAGTCCTCAGCATTCTCTGCCCTGTTTATCTGTGCTCTTTTTCTTTAACAATGATGCCAGTGTCTCAGACTGTACAGTGGCCAATGTTAGAACAAATGGTGAAGTAGTGGATTGAGGAGGATGTAAAAGTAAACAGCTGTGGCCTATTTGAGGTATATCCTGAATTTTGCGTGGATGGGCTGTGAAAACCACGAAAACCCTCAGGATTATTGATATGCTCTAACTGGGCACCTAAAATATTTATATTAGAAACGTTACCGCCTGAAACCGTTTGTTCGGCACCCTGTTCGCAAATACTCGGCAGTCTCTTTCCTCCCTTAATAAAGTGGTTGTCAGACTATATTGTGACGACATGACGCCACCTAAATAAAGATTCCACCTCGTCCCCCTTTTTAATTTTGCGCGTGTGCGCCTGTGTATGTAACGAGGAGCTGCATTAAATCTCAAAATTTTAACTTCTGTTTCGACGGATTGGTGTACGCGGCAGCGTAGTTGGTTGAGGCATTATGCTACAAGCCGGTAGGTCGTGGGTTCGATTCCCGATGAGTCCATTAGACAACCTCACCGCCATCTCTGAGTCGATTTTCTAGAAAATGTGAGACCCTTGACCTCTCCCAACCACATGGGCCTTCACATCCTGTTACAGGGATAGCATCACCCTTTTTTTTTTACCTTTATTTTGACTGATTAGTTTCTCTGGCCTGTCCCATGCAGAATTAATCTGAGACTATGGGTCTTACAGACAGTTGGTAGGACTCCTTGGACGGGAGATCGACCCGACGGAAGGCCGCTGCGTACACAGGGCAACACAAACGCAGAGCAAACGTAGACATCCATGCCTCGAGTAGGATTCGAACCCACGATGCCAGTGCTTGAGCGAGCGAAGACATACCTTAAGACTCCACGGCCACTGTGATCGGTTTCAATTTTTAAAACAAACATGTTTAAGGTTTCTGTCAAATAATAATATACATCAACATTTTACAAATGCACGAAATAATTGATATCTGATATTTTGGGAAGTATAATGAATTCAGTTTTGAATTTAATAGTTATAGTTTCAAATATTGTAGCCGGGCCAGGACTTTAGAAAAGCCTAAGCCGTNCGGGGTTTATTCCTCAAGATATTCTGAAAACCCGTAATAGATTCTGCTGGTTTGAAAACCAAGATATTCTTCCGTACCGTTAAACGACTAGGTGTGCAAGTCCTCACGTTTTCTTGGACTTTCACGAAATGAAACTGTAAGTAATTATATAAAACAGTTCCATTACTCAAAAGTGATAAACTCAATAGCTATGTAACACTGCTTCTGTGTAAAATAAGGTAAACCTGTCTGTGTAACAGGACGTGGAGGCCCACAATGTTGTCAGAGGTCGAGGCTCCCATATTTTCTAGACTATAGTCTAGAAAATATGGGAGCCTCGACCTCTGACAACATTGTGGGCCTCCACGTCCTGTTACACAGACAGGTTTACCTTATTTTACACAGAAGCAGTGTTACATAGCTATTGAGTTTATCACTTTTGAGTAATGGAACTGTTTTATATAATTACTTACAGTTTCATTTCGTGAAAGTCCAAGAAAACGTGAGGACTTGCACACCTAGTCGTTTAACGGTACGGAAGAATATCTTGGTTTTCAAACCAGCAGAATCTATTACGGGTTTTCAGAATATCTTGAGGAATAAACCCCGGTTCAAATCCCACATGAAGCTACAATGAATTCTATCCACCTTCTTCCCTCTCCTCCTGCCCATAGTTATATCCACTATTCTCCTTAATTCGTAGGGAAACTAGAAGTTTTATGTAGTGGCTGCTCCGTATTCAAAATTATTCCTATATTCACTTTGCCCAAGGAAACCAGACTCCAGAGTTGCTAAAGATCATGCAGTTCTTCTTAATCGCCTCGCACTTTAAAGTTTGTGCAACTTCTTTGTTATTGTACGTAATTATACGAAAATTTCACAGATCGTTCTTACACACTTGGGATATTTGGTTGTTGCATTAAAACATGTTCGTCTATTGTCACTGAAGGTAACGAATTTTGTGCAAATGGAAACAATTGTTCAGAATTTTGGTTAGAGTTTCTGTAAAATGGATTCGGTCTCTAATTTGATGGTAATTTTCAGTTCCCAGATTGTGTGCAAATTTTCTTCTTCTGAAACACCTTATCCTTCAAATACCCACACAGAGTATAATCGCAATGGTTTAAACCCGGTGATGTTGGTGTGGCCATGAGTATCCCTCTTCAAATATCGCAGGATACGGTCTCCACAGGACCGTGCTATCGAAGACATCATGAAAAGACTGAAATACGACAATGCTGCCGTGAGGCAGGCTGAATTCATTGGAGTACTATATCCCACCGCGAAATGGACAAATCCAACATTCGGAAAATTGAAGTAAATATCACAAGTAATTGTCCTCCAGTAGCGCACCATGCTCCTTCGCAAAAACGTAACTTCTCTGTATTCCACCGTCCGAACGTGGCTGCCTCAGCTGCATATTCTGCGGAAACAACAGATTTCCACTTATTGCTGGCCAAGAACCGAATTATTTGTGCTGAACTTCGCATTCACTCTCTTGGGCTTTTTATGATTGTCTCCCGTGTTGCACCGACTTCTTCCGGGCGAACAGACCCGCTACGTTTATCACAGACTCTCTGTGTCTTCCAGCTGTTTAACAGTCTGGTAGATAGCGCCTGCCTCTCGATGGTGCAACAGGAGTAAGAAACTTCAACAATATTGACTCACCAGAGCGAGACAAGAACCACCAGGAGAGTGAAAAGGTTTGTTAATAAACACTTTCTGATCCGTCGTATACGACGCCATCTTGGTACCCAGTTCAGTGTTCCCAACAGAAGGAAAGAAAATTCCTAAGTTTGTAGAACGACCTACGAAGGTTTTATACAGTTGCATTCGATAACAAATCGTATAAATTTTAAGATGTCGGATAATTAAAGACATCATGGACTTGGCGGCAGAAGTGACAAACATGGGACAGCCACTAATCTTTTTGGAGATTATGTTAATTTATTAGAAGCTTGGCGGATTTTCATAGCGGGAACTCTATAGGCTTGTATCCGGGAAATATTCTGTTTGAATCTCTGTCGGGATACCAGTCATCCTGGCTGAGGTTCCTTGTGGTTTTCCTCAGTCCCTCCAGGAAAATTCCGGGATAGTGTGCGCATTAGGTCATTACCCCTTCTTCCCAAACCCCTTAAATTTTATCATTTATCAGTCAACTTATTTTTCAATACTCTGTACTCTAGATGCTGATAACGTGGTAAAGTAGCCCGCAAAACAAATTACGTGCAACTGAGTGGGCCAAAATATTGTCGCGTGTTTCACTGGTATCGCGGCAAGTAAATTCACGCTGGTCTCGGATTTGGCGAATATGTTGATTGGACGGTCACTTTACACTCAATTATTAACTTATAGCGTCCTTTATAAGTTTTTTTCACGCTTACAATTACTTCTTGCACCGCTGATCTTGGTGAAGTGTCTTGATCCTTTTGTCGGATGCGATCTGGCTCCTGCTGTAGTCGGAGCTACACTAAGAACTGACTGGTCAGAGCCAGAGCCAGAGCCAGAGTCAGAGTCAGAGTTACTTTACGACTGGCGGTTTACCGCCAATCAGTTCGTCTTGGCGTCAGGCCCCTTGAGGCCAACGACCAGAATTTTTTTTTTCCCAATTGAACTCTTGCGGTAGTAGTCCTTATGTAACATCCTCTCTGACGAGAAGATGGGTTTGACTATTACGAATACATTTGACCTTTCGTCAAATGTATACCGCATTTACGCATGTATAGGCCGCGTGCGTGTATAGGCCGCAGCACAATTTTCAGACAGAAATTATAGAAAAAATAATTTTCTTGGAATATTATTTCAGGAGTAGAAATTATTCCGAAATATTCCGAATATATTTTTTTTTTAATGAAGTGTGATTTCGAATATAAGCCGCAGCCCAGTTTTCCTCTTGAATTTTTGGCAAAAAATATGCGGCCTATACATGCGTAAATACGGTATTTCGCACATATAACATATTATGGAAAATTGTTCCTTTTGAACTACACACAAGTCCTCTGTCGAAACTGGGCTCTTATAATGTGCACTTGGACTGAATAGAGCGCACCATGGTCAAGGGTTTGGTTTCCCCGTTGCTCGCAACGAACGCGGGAATACGTTAATTTGCGTATTCTTTGCCATGGATATCCTTCCATCTTCGGTGTATCGCATTTGTTATTTAAGCTATTCCAAGGCAACGCCCTGCTGGTATTGCGTTCCCACTGAAGTGTATATACTCGTATTTATCGCCTCCGTTTTCATGCAACTGCCTCGAACAATTCGTTGCTTAGGTTTGCTAGCGTTCGGATTCCAAGGCGTTGCAGCAGAAAGGCTGTCGTTGTCTAGGAAATCAACTCTGATCTCCTCAACCATTCCGGCTTCTCTGGCGGCACGCCACAGTATGAAATTATCAAGGATTGTCATGTACCATAAAGTTAGATATTTAGATGCATCTAAGATGTGAACTGATTTTGTAAATAAAATTACGTTTCTTGATCTTATCTTTAGTGTTTCTTTTTCAGCAGACTGGCACCCCAGGCGGCTTTTCCATAACAAATCAAGACTGCACTACGAAAGTAAGTACGTATTGGAATAGGCTATGTACTGCGCTGCATTGTGTTTCTTTTGACACGTATATACTCGTATATTACATAATTTGTGAAGGTAAAATTATTCCTGTACTTAACTAATTAAGCACTACACCATGAGGGCGTATGGGGGAGTGGATGTATAGGTCCACATTTTCTTGACCTCGGCACTAGTTGGAGGTGAGTGGTCAGCTTCACACCTCGGCCGTTTTACCCCCGGGGAAAGCGTTCCCGATATCCATTGGATAGGAGTTTGGGTGAACCCCAGAACCGCTCTGGACGACATAGGGAAGAGAAAATTCATGACCCCACGGGGACTCGAACTCCGACCCCTCGATTGTCCAGCCAGTAAATATACCGACTGCGCTATCCTGGCTCACATTACATAATTTGTAGTGAAAGGAAAGTAGGAGATTAGTTCTTCCCGGAACTTCTTGCTTAAATAATGATGATCTGTTAAAAAACTGCAGTCTTATGAGCTGTGACGCCATGTAATCTTACAGAAATTTACCTTAAGATGGAGTCATGTTACTCCGTAACGTTGTTAATCTTCTGCCAGCCTGCACAGTGTCACGTGCCAGAACACCGCTTTCTTAATATCCACAGCAATAAAAGCCTCAAACCTCAGATAAAGATACATGTTAGATATGAGGTTCTGTCAGCGGTGACTATAAACAATTTTAGAACTCTTTCAAGAATCCATGCTTCAAATGTTCATAACAGGCTTATCCATGTCTTTAGGTCCCTCTGTTTCTGTTTCTTTCTCTACTTTTTAAGGGACTATCATCATCATCATCATGCCCGTAGGTGTCACTCGCAGTAACTTTCTTTGTGTTTCCATTCCATACTTTCTCAACGCAAAGCAGTGGGTCACAGACTGCAGTGACCATATCCCGAGAATATTCTATCAGAATTTCACTGAAACGGTGCAGAAAGAACACAGAAATCTTCGACAGGCTATAGTACAGATCAGCTTCAGCCCAGACGCGTCCTGAATGCATACCAGGAGAATATTTTAGCATTGCAGACTTAGTTGATATTTTACCGTAGATTATTTTGTTAGGTGTTGATTTATTTTATTTGCTTCTTTTGCCTAATTAAGGAACAACACTCCAGAGAAACTAACATGGAAATTTGAGAAACTAATAATCGCTCAGCTGCTCAAAAATATTTTTGTGGAACAAGGGCCAACAAAATCTAATGTTCTGTTTACCATATCATAAAATTAGATTTTATGATGAGGATTGTTAGCCACCGAACGAGTCACAAAACTTAGGAACACTCTTTGTCTGCTGTCATTAACTTTTTGTTGAATAGGTCTGTATTCACACCTCCCATTCAAATCTGGATGCCGTTTGTCCGTCTGCAACCTGAAGAAGCACCATGCCCCCACGGTGACGTGGGACACGCTTGACATAGTATCGTGTATGTGGCAGTTTGTTTCTCGTATGATAAGTCAATGGGTTTATATGTGATAACTATTCCTTCTTAGCGAAACTATCTCCATGGAACAGAGACCATCTTGAGAAACTGACACCGCTCAGCTAGTCAGATCCCTCAACTTCTTAGGAATTCTAATGTCCCGTTTCTTGTTAACAGTACCTCGCCATCGGACCATATCTTGAACTGGTTAAATTCAGGTCACATCTTTCTATCCTGTTTCTTTAGGATTCAATTTAATATTATTCTCCCGTCCACACCTTGATCTCCCGAGTTGTGATATATCGTAAGGCTGTTGAAAGAGTAACATTGAAGTAGTTTTATGGAAGTAAGTAAGTAAATCTATACATGTAACAGGCCGTGAAGGCCCATAGGGTTGTGATACGTCGCAGCTCCCACATTTTCTAGACAGCCGGCTCACAGGTGCCGGTTAGTTTGTCATCCTTACTCGCCGGCCGCCTTTTACCTCCAGGAATATTCCTAGTATTCATTCCTTATAGGGACTGAGTCTACCCCAGGATCATAGAGCGGCTGGAAGGATTAGGTAAATTGAAAAGAAATCCAGTGACCTCATCGGGAATCGAACCCGCGACCGTCCGACTGGTGGCATAATGCCTCAAACAACTACGCTACCGTGTGCCCCAATTTATGGAAGGATAAGAGATTTATTATACTGGCTCAGGATCGTGGCCGATGGCAAATTTGGTATTAACGGTATTGAATTTCGGGTTCTGGTATCAGAGAGTTATTTAATTCCATCTCCTTAGTGCACAAGAGGAAACGCATCTGATGGGCCAGGAGAATGTTTTGAAATATGTTGTGGTCCCTCAGCACTGAAGAGGTGCCATTACAGGACACGTACAGTACGTTCATGTTACTAAGCAGGTAGAGCTTAATGCACGGCGGCAGGCGCGAGCCTGCCTTGGCCAGAGTATCTGGGTTACTCTCGTACAGAGCTACTTTTTATGAAGTCAACTGAGGTTGTATCATTCAGAGATTGTTATCCTAGTTAAGTGTGTGCTATACAGGATGAGGCAACTATAAATATTACAAGACTTTGAAAGGAGGCATGTACAGTCTTATGGCCTGCTGGACTTTAAGTATGGATTTGTACGTTAGCACTGCTGTAACGTAAAGAGAAGTAATTAAGTACGTACAAGACAGACCACGAGATAAAGGCACGATCAACGTGCAAGTACATTTGTAAACAAGGGTCTGTAATGTTATACCTGGTACGGTAAATGCAGTCTTAAGTACATAATTTGAAACAAGTAACTAAAATATAAAATTTATTCCAGAGGGTCTATATCTTCTACATAAAATGAACATCACTAAATGTCTCTAACTTCAGTAAAAGTAAAGCTATCACTGCAGCAGGCCGTGAAGGCCCATAGGGTTGTGAGACGTTGAGGGTCCCACATTATCTAGATAATCGGCTCACAGATGGCGGTAAGGTTGTCAGCCTTACGCGCCGGCCGCCCTTTACTCCAAAGAATATTCCTGGTACTCATTTCTGTTTGAGGCTGAGTCGACCCCAGGGCCATACAGAGGCTGAAAGGAATAGGTCAGTTGAAAAAATCCAGTGATCAACCAACTACGCTACCGCATGCCCCTCTTTAACTTCAGTATCACGTGATTTTATGGGGACGCATGCTTTTGTAATGCAGTTAAATGCGTTAGAAAAAATTCGACTTTCCTCTCTTCCAAACATTTATTCACGTGTACGTTTCAAAAACCAGAATTATAAGTTTTCTAACAGAACAGTTCATGCATTACGATGAAACTCTTTGGAATCTTGGACTGTGCTAGATTATTTGGAAAGACCATGCAACAAATGAAAACCTGTGTAAACAGTACTTTTTTTTTCTCCGTTCTCTTCGGTTTTTCTAGACCTTACACATTCGGTAGGACTCCTTGGGCGGGTGATCAGCTCGTCGCAAGACCTTTACCTATACACAAACACAGAAAAACGCACACAAACATCTATGCCCTGAGTGGGATTCGAACCCACGATCCCGGCTTCCGAGCGAGCGAAGACAGTGCATGCCTTAGACCGCTCGGCTACCGTGACCAGCAAACAGTGCTTTACAGACATAAATTTAGGATGAGGACGCCATTAAATCTTTGCTAAGCTGAAGGGACGCCATTTTATGAAGCATGGGCAGCACTGATATAATGGACGGTTCACACGATGATCAGGAGCTGCCATAATGTAGGAAGGTCGATTAAGTGCCAGCCACAAGAGGTTTAAGTCGCGGCTGGCCACATAGCCGACACTGTGTACCGAGATGTGGTGATGATGATGATGGCGGCGACTACTTGGAAGCACTGTTATTACCGTTATTTAGACACTTACCGCTAAATTTAACGATAAATTTGCGCACATTGCAACAAGCGCCATGGAGTTGATAAAATCAGTACCGTAGTTCTGGGCTTGCTGTGGACTGTTCCAGCAATTGCAACGGAAAGTCATATACTCCTAGGTCTTATTGTGCCACTGTACAAGAGAAGTCTGGTGATAAGAGAGTGATATGGGGAGGAGTAAGAAAGAAGTGAACTGTCTTCCTTGTCTCCTCATTTTCTGTACTACGTGACAAGTATTGTGGAGGAAAGTAGGAAAGTGTGTGCTTGTTTGTAACTTTGCAGCCCCCCTTCTGACGGCAGAGGAATTCAGTGAGACAAGTACTTTCCTTCTGTTCTATGTTTAAGGCTTCAGCGGGATTCAAGAAAATATTCAGTCCTTTATGCTTCAAGATGGGAATTGATTTCTGGTTTTCTCTTATAAATAAGATATTCATTTATGATGTTCAGAGATAAACTATGATACGTATGCTCACGTCGCTACTTGTTACTGGAGATCTGAATGGTTTGGAGCAGAAAGGGAGAGCCTGTGAGACAGACAAAATCAAAATAATGTAGAGTAACAGGAAAGCAAATAAATATACTTCTTATTCTTCTTCTTTGAGAACCTGTGAGACTGCTTCTTATTCCTGTATTAGCTTGGATAGAAACACATGAAGGACACAGCTACTAATTTCCATAAAAATCGGTATTTACAGTATTCTTCTTCTTATTCCTGTTGCTCCCAATTGGAGCATAGGGCATCCTTGAAACGCTTCATTTCACTTTAGTTTCTTAATCTAAGACAGTTATAATGACTCCTTGGGCGGGGGATCAGCCTGTCGCAAAGCCAGTACCTAACACAAACACAAAAAGAAACGGACATTCAGAGTGAGATACGAACTCACCATCTCAGCGTTCGAGCGCGCGGCATTTGCAGCATGCCACTTCATATGTCTTCATCTTTATACTTTCCATAACATGAACAATAGCAAAGTGTTGAGTGGGAGGTATACTGCTGACTTCCGAACACAGTCGTGAAGTTTCATTGAGAGGTATTCAATTTTGGTTGCATCATTAACTGACCAATGAATAAAGTCCGTGTAGGACAAGTAACACAGGTAGTCAAGAATCTTCCAGCCTTAATGGAAACTAAAATCTCATTACTGTCTTCATGAGTCTGCTATTGATCCCTGTATTGAGGCAGA